AAATGCCAACATGCAATGTTGCAAGAATTAAGGTTCATTACTCATACTCAAACCTCTATTAGGCATTTCATCAAACAACTCAAGTGCACTATAAAACTCTACTATAGCAATGATTCTAAATCTTTCTCTAACCATCCAAAATGGGGAAAAACCCCTTCACATAACCATAAAACCTGTCAAAGAAAGCACTTCCAAAAAGGGATCCACAATACCCCTTCAATTCCATCTCAAACTACCTTTCCAACCCAACAACTCATTTCTCATATTTGCAAAGAATAAACAATCACAAGGCATAGAAATCTCTATTTAAGCCTTCATACATGGCATATCACATGTATATCACATACATACATCATTTCTATCAAAACCCTAATCAAGAAAATTCTTAAATCTCAACTTGGGTTGGGATTTACTTACCTTGTTATGGAGAGACTTCACCAACTCTTCCTTTCACTTGTTTTGCTTGACTTTTTCTCTACTCTTAACCAAAAGAACAAAAACCCTCAAACTTCAATATAAACTAAAACTCACAAATCACACAACTTAAGTAGGAATCCTTACCTTAGGAAGCCTTAGGTTGATTTTCTACCCCAAATCACTTCAAAAACCCCTTGGAACTCCTTGATCAAAAGAAAGAGAAGTTGAGAGGAACAAGAATGGAGAGTTGCGTTTTTGAGAAGAAGAATGAGGGGTTTGCTAACTCTTAATTCCTTTTAATGAAATTTATACCAAAGCATTCCCATTTTGCCCTTACTCTTCTTTGGGAATTCCATCTATATCCTTTGATTCATTACAAACTCACCCCCATATCAACATATTCTCCATGAAAAATCCTTACAATTAACTCCCCACTTTTCCTGCTAATTAGGGGTAGAATGGTCAAATAGCCCTTAGGGAAGAAAATATCTAAAACTTAACAAACATTTTAATCGGCCTGTCGCCGCGGCGAAGAAACTTCTGTCGCCGCGGCGAAACTGTCCAGCAGCTTCCCCGTGGCTTCAACACCTCTTCGCTGCGGCGAAGATTCTTCTTCGCCCCGGCGAAGACTGAAACACTAAACTTCTTCTATTTTCAACCAATTTCAGGGCAAGCATTCAACACAACACTAAATCAAACAATATTACCAAAAACCAACTCAAATAAGAGCGAAAGAAGAAACAACAAATACGTACCTCAAGTGGGGCGTTACATACATCAATACTGCACCAAGTCCCTGAAAAGAGGCATCTATATAAATATCATAATCTACACCTTCCTATGGTAACACAAGAATATGAGCTATGGTCAATTTTATTTTTCATTCTTGAAAACTTTCTTCACAAGCATTCAACCTAAAAGGCATCACCACAAACTCATAATGTCCATATCTGGACCGAAAAGCAGTCTTGGCAATATCTGGCTGTGCAACCCTTATTCGGTGATAAACCAACCTCAAATCAATCTTCAAAAACACTGCTGCTCCTTTCAGCTGATCAAACAAATCATCTATGCGAGGTAATGGGCATTTATTCTTCGCTATCACTTTATTTAACTCTCTGTAATCTATACACATCCATAGGGATCCATCTTTCTTCTTTACAAATAAAATTGGAACACCCCAAGGAGAATGGCTAGGACAAATAAAACCCTTGTCTAAGAGTTCCTGAAGTTGCTTCTTCAATTCCTGAAGTTCGGCTAGGGCCATCCAATAAAGGGCTTTAGAAATTGGTGCTGTCCCTGGTGTCAGTTCAATGTTGAATTCTACTTGTCTTTCCGGAGGTAAACCTGGCAAATCTTCCGAAAATACATCTAAAAACTCCCGAACTACTGGCACCTTCTAAAACTCTAGTTGTGGGACATCACTACTGTGCACTACAAGAGCAATATACCCCGAGCACCCTTTTCTTAGTTAAATCTCGCTTTCTTCTTATGACAATCAATCTCTACTCCAAATCTCCCCAGGAACTCCATGCCCTAAATAACATCAAAATTAGGCATATCAAACACTATCAAATCCACTGGCACTCCTTTCCATGGATCACTACGGACTCCCTTGGAAGCATCTCCGTAGTTACCATACTAACACTATCTGATAACTTTTTCTTTATGGGACAGGTCTCGGCCTTTCATTCTGCCAATCCCTCATGTTCTTCTTGGGTTGAAATCTTTCCTCATTTCTCACCTCTCTATTATTGGGGGCATCAGCACTAAAAGTGTCGTCGTATGCTCCACGGACCTAAACCACTCTTCTGCCACTATAGGGTCTATTGTACCCTTGAATTTTGATAGCTGATGTTGACTAAGCAACCCATATATCGGCTTAATACGATTCTGCACTATCGGGGGTACCGACCTCTCTTTCTCCTCTTTGGGGGTCGGTACAATAACTGGGGTCTCAACTCTCTCCGGTCTAGAGCTTCCCTGATTTTCTCCTAATACTTACTGTATAATATTACGAATCCTCGTTTCACCGAGGACAAGGGGAGTAAATTCTAACGGGCTGGAAGATTCACCCGTACTCATTGTCTTCTTACTGTCTGCTCGAGTTCTACGTCTCATCTACATAACATGTCTCCTTTACATAACACCAACACTCCACTACAAGTAAGGAAAGAAATAACTTACAGCGGTCGACTACAGAACATCAATGCGGCGGGAGAGGCATACTGTCAAATCCCAAAATCTCTGCTTTGATACAAAAAATGTAATGACTCTCTCTTTAGCTAGTATACGCATAAAATAAACAGTAAAAGTAACTAAATATATATATTACGAAATTATACATGTAGATGAGTATAAAATAATGGGCCCAAATTTTCTTTATATATACAAAACTATACATAGTGTAAATAAATTTCTCAAGAAGCTCAATAGTGTTGCCCGACCCTTCCGCATCTTGACATTCCAAGCAACCACATCACATCTACTACCTGCAAAAAACATTGAAAACAACGGTGTGAGCTCTAATTGCTCAGCAAGTAAACAAGGTATTCTACCCTTCTATCTCTGTTGCTCATATTCTGAATTCTTTCCTTACATCACACTTCTCTCTTCTTCTCTGTTCTTTTCTATTCTTTCTCTCTATTCTTTCTCTATTCTTTTTCTGTTCTATCTCTTTATTCTTTCTCTACTCTTTTTCTGTTCTATCTCTCTGTTCTTTCTCTATTTTTTTTCTCACTTACTAACATGTAAGCACAATTGGAGAACCTATTCTTTTCTCTTCATTAACACTTTTCTTTCTTTTATTCTCTAGTGCTTTTTCTTTCTTTCTCTTTACTCTTAGAGTGCTTTATTCTTTAAAATTCTTTATTCTATCTTAAGTTATTGCACACATGCAAATAAATGTATGTGGGTGGCTCATGCTTATAATTCTTTCTTAGATGCACTCATGAAATGCAAATATGCAATGTTGCATGAAATTAAGGTTCTCTACTCATACTCATGCTTCTCTTGGGCATTTCCTCAAACAATAAATGTGCAAACATAAATTCTACTTTAGCTATAACTCTTCTTCTTTCTTTAACCATCCAAAATAGGAGTAAAGCTCCCTTGTATCATCACAAAACCTATCAAGGAAAACACTCCCAAAGGTTTACTCAAACTTCTTTCAACTTCAATCAAACTTCAACCCATCATCATACAATCAAAAGCACTTCTCATAATTCAAATATGTCCAACAACATTCCCATACTTGAAAAAATAAACTAAGAAATTGGAAGCATTTTTGAGGTAGTCATTCTGCACATGTCATATTCAAGAAGGCATAACTTGCGTTATACATATTGGATTGCTATGGTCTTAGTCTCGTTTTAAAGCTTAGAGACAGGGCTACAACTTTTATGTTGAAGTCTTAACCCAGTTCAATCTGTAAGATACCCAAAATCACTCAGAAGGTCATAGGCGTGACAGGGCAGCCATGGTAACATGTTTTCTCTTAGGATTATCATCAAACAAATTGCATGCATACTCAAACTCTAATTTGGCTACACTTCTATCTCTTTTCTAAGCTACCAAAAATTGGGAATAAATCCCTCCGTATTTAACACCAAATCTGCCCAAAATGCACACTCCAAAATTTCCACTTCAATTATTCCAAATATCATCCAAACATGCATCAATCATCAACTACACCAACACAAACTCTCATGGATAGGTTCTAATCATCATTCAACACCAAATCCATCAACAATTCTACTTATAACACATGTATATGCATAAAGAAAATTATCTACACATCTTAACTTAAATCATACTTAGGGTTGGATTTACTTACCTTTGGTATGAGCAAATTCAACCCTTGAAGAATCTCCTTTGATCAAACTTTCTTTCTCTTAAATCCTATGAGCATAAACCATCAAAATCAACACTTTAAAAACTAAAATTCACTTCTTAGTGCAAGGATCGTACCTATAGAAGCTTAGGATTGAAAATCCACTCAAAAATACCCAAAATCTATGAATTTCCTTGGAAATCTAGTGAAGATATTTGAGAGAATTTGAGTAGAGAATGAGAGAATGGCATGGATGGAGGGATAGAGTGGCTAGGGTTTCTCCTCTTGAACTCTTATTACATAATATATATATATATATATGTATGTATGTATATATGTAGTTTCCCATTTTGCCCTTGCACTTTCTATGAAATTCCATCTATGTCCCTTAGTCAATTACAATAATGCCCTCATTTTTATTGCATTCTCCATGAAATTCTATCTCTTTTCACTCCCCAATTTTTCAACTAATTTTGAGTGAAAATACCATTTTACCCCTAATGAAAGTTTAAGGGATTTTCTTCGCATTTTTCTCAAAATAACTTTAACAAAATTCAACTAAGGGCATAAGGGCATAAGTTAAGTTACGTACCTCAATGTGGGCATTACAAGCACACTCATTCTTCTTCAGCTCATCTACCTCCTTTGTTTTGGATTGGGCAATGCAAGCTTCTAGAGGTAGATGAAGGGTGTTCTCTTTGATGGTATTCGCTACAAGTCTATCCACCAAATCCACACTAAAACATGAATCTTACTCTAATGGAAATTTCATGGCCTCGAAGACATTAAATGTCACCGTTTCATCTTGGACCCTTAGGATTAACTTCCCTTCTTGTACATCAATTAAGGCTCTTCTGGTAGCAAGAAATGGTCGTCCCAAGATAAGAGGAATCTCCTTGTCTTCGTACATATCCAACACAACAAGGTTTGCCGGAAATATGACTTTGTCCACTTTAACCAATACATCTTCAACAATGCCCCTTGGATGCTTGATGGATCGATCTGCAAGCTGCAAAGATACAGTTGTAGGCCTCACTTCACCAATCCCTAGTCTCCTGAAAACAAAAAAAGGCATTAGATTAATACTCACACCCAGATCACACAAAACTCTATCAAAGGCAATATCTCCTATAACACAAGGGATAGTAAAACTCCCTGGATCCTTGAGTTTTGGAGGTAGCTTCTTTTGCAGAATGGCACTGCACTCTTCTATAAGCATCATTGTTTCCTCTTCTTCCAACATTCTTTTGTTTGACAGAAATTCCTTGAGGAACTTAGCGTGGCTTGGCATATGCTACAACGCATCTGCAAAAGGAATGTTAATGTACATTTTTTTAAATACCTCAAGGAATTTCATGAATTGTTTATCCTTATTTTGCTTTCTAAGCCTCTAAGGAAAAGGCATAGGAGGGGTATGATATGCCAACTCTGGCGGTATCTTAGGAAATGGCAATTTTTCCTTCTTTTGCTTTGGTATCTCTTCCTTATTTGGTTCTTCTTCTCTAGGACTCTTTGGCTTTTCCTCAAAAATGATTTCTTCCTCGATTTCCTCATCAGACTCTTCCTTTTCTTTTTGTGGGTTCTCATCTTTCCCTTTTTGTTCAACCTCTTCCAAGACTGTTCCACTTTTTGAAGTTATTGCATTTGCTTGTTCATGTGGATTTGTCACTGTGTTACTTGATAGGGAGCCTTGAGGTTGCGCATTCAACTTTTTGGCTATTTGACCCATTTGTACTTCCAAGTTTCGAATCGATGCCCCTTGGTTTCTGAAATTTGCCCTCGTCTCACTCATAAAACCTGTGGTCTCTTGCATGAACTCCCCAAACATATCCTCCAATTTCGACACTCTTTGATCCCATGGTTGATGGTTAACCCCTGCTTGATTGTTTGGCACTGTTCTTTGATTCCACTGATTATTCTGATTGCCCCAAGACAAGTTTGGATGATTTCTCTAACCAAGATTGTACGTGTTGGAGAAAGGATTGTTCTGTTGTCTCTGATTCCCAACCAAATAGTTGACTTGTTTTGATGATGAGGAAGCTAAAGCAAAATTATTCCCCACTTGGCATTCAATGCTCACATGGTTACCTGCACAAAAATCGCATGTTACTTGAGGTGTTTGAATTGAATTTACTTGCATGCCTCCTAATTGTTTCTGAAGTGCTGTTAGTTGGGTTGAAATGGTCGTGTAAGCATCAACTTCATGAATACCCATAGACTTCTTCAGATGAATTCTTTCATTGGGTCTCTTATAGTTGTTACTTGCCTGGACTTCAAGTAACTCATAAGCTTCTTCAGCTGTCTTGTTTTGCAATGCTCCTCTAGATGTTGCATCCACCATTGTTTGCACATTTTTTAGCAACCCATTATAGAAGGTTTGGACTTGCATCCAAACAGGCAAACCATTGTGTGGACACTTTCTTAGTAGTTCCTTATATCTCTCCCATGCTTCATAAAGTGACTCGTTCTCTTCCTGTAGAAATGATGTGATATTGTTTCTCATCTTTGTTGATTTCGTTGGTGGGAAGTATTTAGTCAAAAACCTTTGTGCCAATTCATTCCAGGTGGTGATTGTTCCTGCTAGTAGTGCCATTAACCATCCCTTTGCTTTATCTCTTAATGAAAATGGAAATAATCTTAACCTGTGGCATCATCTGACACTCCATTTGCCTTAAATGTGTCGCATATCTCTAAGAAGTTAGCAATGTGTGAATTTGGATCTTCCTTTGCATCTCCCCCAAATTGTACAGATTATTGGATCATTTGGATGATTGCCAGCTTTATTTCAAAATTGTTGGCTTTCACTGGTGGTCTAGTGATACTTGGACCACTACCGTCAACTGAGGGTATTGAGAATTCCCTCAAAGTTCTGTTTTCAGCCATCTCAATGACTATTGCCTCTCTTTCTCTTCTCTCTCTAATAAGTCTTCTTGCAGTTCTTTTTATCTCTGAATCAATGGGAACCACTGGATGATATCTTACTCTTCACATAAACTACACAAGACAGAAAGAGAGCATGAGATCACACATGAATGAAAAGAAACACAAAATTAAGCTAAAACTAATTGAAACAAAAATAAAACTCCAATCTAGTGAAAACTAGAAAACTTCAATATCAACACTAAATCAATCCCCGACAACGGCGCCAAAAACTTGATGTGTGATTTTGACAAACATGAAATGTGTAGTAAGTGCACTAGTCATAAAAAGTAATAAAATGATGAGAAGAGTATCGTTCCCACGAGGATTGCCTGTTAAGTACTAATTTTCTTAGTTTTGTAACTAGTTGAAGAACATGAAGATTGTTGGATTTGCGGGAGACAATAAAAGCAGAAATTAACACAAAATCAATAACGTAAATTAAAATCTAACTAATTAAGAAAATGTCAACCAATTACGAACATATCAATTCAAGACAAAAAGGTTAGGATTTCGACTTCACTAGGGTACTCTGATTCAATATGCGGTTGTTGTTGCCCTCAAACTCACATGCAAGGACTACAAATCGGACACCTTAATATGCAAAATATACCTCCTCAAGCTATATTCTCCTACTTATCCCTATTAAGCTTCCGCACCCAACAAAATGAAGATTAACAGTTCCAAGTCTATTAAGCCAAGTGGAATCCTAAAGTGATTTCATAGATCTCCGAACCTATCTCTAGCGTTCATTCAATCTATGGTATTTACTCTAAGAGGCTAACACATGAATCACTTCTCAGTCTCATCATGCTCAACATTTAATTGAACCAAAGAAAAGTCAACATTCAATTGCATTAAGAACAAAAATAAACACATAATCCAAGCAATAGAACTTAAAAACAACATCTATTTATAGATTTAAACCATTGTAATCCAAGTTAGGTCAAAACCCTAACCCAAAAGTGAGTTAGTTCATATTCAAATTAAAGAAAATCAGAATATAAAATGTAATTAAAGAGTTCAACATGCTAAAACAATAAGAAAAGAATGAAATCTTCCCTAATTGAAGACCCAAAATGTTTCCAATCTCCAATTTCTTCCTTTTCTTTCCTAAAAATCACAGACTCCTTTAAAAAATGAGCTAAGGCTCTCTTAAATAGTTAGCCAAAACCCTAGGATTCTAATCCATTACAAATAAAACACAACGTTTTACAAACAGCATATTTGCAATTTTCACCACAGCGGAGAGTAACTTCGCCGTGGCATCGAGTTGAATTTTTGCTAAACCATTTAACCCGAGGCTAGCTTGCCGCGGCAAAGAATTATCTTCACCGTGGCAAACTTTGCTGAACTTTTCTAAAATTACAAAACTACCCTCCGCTTACTTCTTCGCTTGAGTCTTTGATCATCGTGATCCCCAATAGGAACAAGCTTCATAGTGCTTCCAATCCGCATCAGAATTCCCCCGATTCTTGAATTTCTCTTGATTCTGGGTCCAGAAACTCAATTTCACTCGATTTTGCTCCAACTGCATGTTTTGGCGTAAAACGTCAAATATACGAATTTAAGTTGCAATTCAGGCACAAAACCTAATAAGAAGTATCCAAAATCCTACCAAAAAGTATAGAAAATACAATATAATCCTAGGATTATCAATGACCATTTTAGAAATTGATTGGTATGAGTGTAGTTTTCATGCCTTATTATATATTACAAGCTATAGAATTGAGCTAGAAGATCTTGAGAGTATATTGTATTAGTCAAAAGTTTAGTTAAGAATGTTAGAAAGAAATTAGAATTTAGCCAAAGTATATATGTTGTGCTATATGTTAGATTGTATTTACAATGATTAATATGGCAATATAGATTAATGTATAGAATGTAGCCAAAAGAAAAGAAGAAAGAAGGGTATGTATAACAATGTTGATGGTCAAGTTAAGAGAATGCAAATTTATTGCATTAAAATTTGTATTTAGAAAGTTGTACAAGGCATGTTTGTAACATTAGAAAATATTAGAGAGTAGTTTAATGACATGGCTATGTGAGATATATATATGAGAAAATCTAGTAGCATAATTGGGCAAGTTAGTAGACTTAATACCTAAGTTGTGGCATAGATTTTTATAGAAGAAATTAGATTGCCCAAAATGTAGAATTCATTCCCTAGTTGAATTGTGCCATTTTAATATCTTACCAATAGAATTATAGAAGAGTAGAATTTGTGAGAGATAATGTAATTGTGTACGTGTACATTTTACATAGCATGATAGAATTGAAGAATTACAGCATTATGTAGAAATTATAGAACTGCGTATGTACACACGATGCATAGAATTCTGAAATAAAGAATCAAATAGAAAATGTTTAAGTTAAGCATGTTACTAGAATAGAACTTTGGGCTTTCCAGAAAAATATAGAAATAAAAGCCTTAGAATGAATAGAATAAATTTTGGGATCATGCATAGACAGCATATAAATACATGACATAGCATAGCATGTATTTCAGAAATTTTAAAATTATTGGAAAATGTCTAGCTAGTTATTTTTTAGATTTACAGAGCATGTTTTCAGAAGGCTGTTGCGATGGAACCTGTGAGCATTCGTTGCAGTAGTTAGTGGCGACAAAGATGTAGAAGTTTCCCTCATGCACGCCGCCATCAGTGAGCGGCATCAGAATAGAAAACAGAATTGTATAGTCTGCTAGATGTACATGTGGATGAGGACTGTACCCAGAAAGAATTTCAAAATACGCTCACACAGCCAGGGTTCCAAATCCATGCCTCAGCCTAGTCCGATCAGCAAACCAGAATAGAATACAAAAAGAGAAAAAGAAAGAAAAATAGAATAAGAAATAGAAAACAGAAAGAATGTCAAAAAGAAAGGAAAAGAATTTCAGAAAGAATTAGAAAAGAATTTTCAGAAAGAATACAAACATGATCATTTGCATATGCATCATACATTTTATGTGCATTGCATTTTATGCATTTATGCATAGATTAAAGAGTTTATTTTATTATTGCGTGTCTGACTAGTCAAGAAAAGAAAATAGAAGCCCATAAAAATAGAGAAGAAAAGAAAATAAAAGCCTACAAGAATAGAAAAGAAATTAGAGATACACGAAAAAGGAACAGAAATTAGATATATGCTAGAAAGGAATAGAAATTAGAAACATGACAAATAGTAAGGAAACTTAGTGATTTGTTGAGTAGAGAAAGAAACAGAAAGATATAATCTAGCAGAGAAGAGAAATAAAATGATAAAGAATAGCACATCACTAGAAAGATTTAGAAAGATTTTAGAAAAATAGAAGACTGCTAAGTAGTACGCTTGAGAATAAAGAGAGAAAGCAACCAGAAATTTAGAAGCAGTACAGCGAAACGGGGACAACGGAGTAAGAGCATGGTTAGATTTGATTTACTTACTAAGCATTTATAGCTCACCCCGTTGCTTTCTTTATTTTTGCAGGTATTAGATTGTAGCGGTCGGGAGACGTCAAGCTGGCGAGAGGGTTGCACACATTGTCTCAGTGAAGGAATTACTGTGGATTTATGTATGTATTTTTGGTAGTAATAATATTTAGAGAACATCTTCACACTTTCCGATTCATTAGAAAATGATTCTTATTATTTTTATATATGTGAGAAATATTCATTGTGTAATAGTATTTTATAACTGGATTAAGGATAAAAAAATTTAGACGAACACCCTTTTTAAGCTACCAATTCTCTGGATTCTCTCTATAGGATACTCAATGAATACTTGCCTAGTGAGAGATTATAAGAACGTTAGTGGTTGGCTGCATTGAAA